ATAGAATAGAATAGAATAGAATAGAATAGAATAGAATAGAATAGAATTCTTTATTGGTGTCCAAGTGTGATTGGACACACAATGAATTTGTCTTGGTGTAAATACTCTCAGTATACATAAAAGAAAAGATACATTCATCAAGAGTCAAGAATCATCAGGTACAACACAATGATAGTCATAGGGTACAATAAAAATAGAATAGAATAGAAAACAGAATAGAATCGAATCGAAAATAGAATAATTCACGTTTGGAATGAACACACGTGTCTTTTTCATGTGTGATGTTTATTCAGGGGTCCCAGTTAGATTATTCAGTCCAGATGTAGTTGAAATTGAAGGAGGACACATGATCGACAGGCCTATGTTTAAAAAGGGTTGTCTGATCAGCCTTAGCAAGTGGAGAACATGGTAGGGAATAGAGAATAACAAGAGTTGGGACCTTGGAGGTCTTCTAGTCCAACCCCCTTTCCTCCCTAGATTCTTTACAATCTGAGACTGTGGTTTCTTCCAAAGTTGTCACAGATATAATAAGTGACAATGAAGAGAATGTATGCTGGTATGTAATACAGAGTGGAATGTATTTTTATTTTATTTTTATTTATTTTATTTATTTATTTTGATTTGTCAATCGCTTACAAGATAATAGTTATAAGTATATACATAGTTATGAATACATGAAATGGGTACATATAAGAAAAATAAAAGAAACAACAGGACAGGGACGGTAGGCATGTTGGTGCGCTTATGCATGCCCCCCTACAGACCTCTTAGGAAAGGGGTGAGGTCCATAGTAGACAGTCTAAGGTTAAAGTTTTTGGGGTTTGGGGAAGAAACCACAGAGTCAGGTAGAGTATTTCAGACATTGACCACTCTGTTGCTGAAGTCGTATTTCCTGCAATCAAGTTTGGTGCGGTTTACCTTGAGTTTGTATCTATTGTGTGCTCTTGTGTTGTTGTGGTTGAAGCTGGAGTATTCATTGACAGGTAGGACATTGCAATGTATATTTCCATCCTGAGCAAAGGGCCTTGAACTTTAGCAGTAAGTTAGAAATAACAGAATAACAAGAGTTGGAAGGGACTTTAAAGGTCTTCTAGTCCAACCCCGCCACCCAAGCCAGAGACCCTATAGGGCCTATATACCAATGTAAGAGAGCTTCACTCCAGGTAGTCTATCAGCCTGTGGATTTTACCTAAATGTGCCTACAAGGGGCATAAATGATCCCAAACATCCCCCCTCCCTCCCTCCCCCCCCCCTCTGTTACTCCAATGTGCCCTCAAAGAGAAGAAACTACATTGAGTTTATGAGTGTATTATGTTTAGGGCTCGACTGTCCTGAGTCCCTCAGACCAACCAATCCAGCCAGGGCTGCCTCAACACATGGGATACTAACCTGTGTATGTTAACCCTTCCATGCACCTTGTATCCTATAAATACAGCAACGTGTTTATTTACATTTTACTGCATTTTTTTATATTAACACCAACATGCAAATATATGTTTAATTTTCCTGCCTTTTTAAAATGAATACTAACATGCATTAATTAGAAATCAACACGGATCACACGGATAAATATGTGTTTTATTTTATCGACCATTTACACTTTGATTCCTGGGAGGAGTTGTGGTAGGGGCTCCAGTAGACCGCTTTGCCCGGGGGAGGGGTGTGTGTGTGTGTGTGGCATCAGACGGCTCTGAGTCCAGCATGATGGACACCTGTTGGGGACTCAACCCCCCCCCCCACACCCTGCCCCATCAGCCACTGCCCATGGCCGGGCCCCATGGAACTGCCCGCCTGCAACCCTTAGCAGGACGCTTCCTTCTCTCTTCGCCTTGCTCTGAGCAGAGGCTCCGCGCGGGGAGGAGGAGGAGGAGGAGGAAGAAGGCTGCTCCGAAGTGGCGAACTACAGCTCCCATCATCCCTCACCGAGAACGGGCCCGCCCGGGGCTGCCGGGCCTTGTAGTCCCCGCAGCATCTGGAAGGTAGAAACGCGGAGGATGCGGGTTTAAAGGCGGCGTTGGGCGCCCGGGTGGGGGGCGAGGAGCCAAGGGGTCCGCAGCGGAGCGATCCAGCCGGGATCCAGGACGGGGGGGAAGGATGTTGGCGGCGGTGCAGCCGGCCGGCTAAGCCCCCCTAACTCCCCTTCCCCGGGAATCGTTGCTTGGAGCCGGTCCGCGAAAAGGGGTCGCCGCCGCCGCCGCCGCCTCCTCCATGGCTCGCTGGCTTCGCGACCGCCTCCTCTTCCGCAGCGCCAAGCCGGAGCCCCCGCAGCCGGATTACGCGGCGGGTCCCGAGCAGCCCGACCTCCTCGCCGCCTACCGCCTCCAACGCCAGCGCGACTTCGAGGATCCCTACGGCGGGGGCTCCTCCGCCGCCGCCCCGCCCCGCTGCCGCTCGCCCCGCCGCCGGAGGCTCGTCCGGGTGGAAGCGGAGGAGAGGGCGGGCCCCGCCGACGGCCCCGGCCTGGGGGACCGCCCGCCGGAGCAGAACAAGGAGAGCAAGGTCTTGCGGCGGGAGGGAGGGAGGGGGGGGCTGGGGAGGGGAGGGCTGGGCATCTCTGTCCAGCGGAGGGGAAGGGTCTTTTCTTGGCTTTCCAGGGAGGAGGGAAGAGGGGCGAATCCGCCTTGGTCGCTTGGCCTGGGCTGCGCCCGAGCTGGGCTGTTTGGGATTCAAACCTCCTTGGGACACTGCGAATAGCATGGGAATGGAATGGAATGGAATCGAATTAGAATAGAATAGAATATTAGAATATTACTCTATATAGAGTAGAGTAGAGTAGAGTAGAGTAGAGTAGAATAGAATAGAATAAGGGATATAGAGTAGAGTAGAATAGAATAGAATAAGAATAGAATAATAAGAATAAGAATTAGGGATATAGAATAGAGTAGAGTAGAGTAGAGTAGAGTAGAGTAGAGTAGAGTAGAGTAGAGTAGAGTAGAGTAGAGTAGAGTAGAGTAGAATAGAATAGAATAGAAAAGGGGATATAGAGTAGAATAGAATTAGAATAAGAATTAGAATTAGGGATATAGAGTAGAGTAGAATAGGGCAGAGTAGAGTCGAGTAGAATAGAATAGAATAGAATAGAATAGAATAGAATTCTTTATTGGCCAAGTGTGACTGGACACACAAGGAATTTGTCTTGGTGCAAATGCTCTCAGTGTACATAAAAGAAAAGATACATTCATCAAGAGTCCATCATCAGGTCCAACACTTAATGATAGTCATAGGGTACAATAAGCAATCAAAACATACTAGAAAACAGTCAATAAAAATAGTAAGGATACAAGCGACAAAGTTACCGTCATACAGTCACAAGTGGGAGGGGATGGGTGATAAGGAGTGATGAGAAGATTAATAGTAATAGTAGGGCAGATTTTGTAAATAGTTGGACAGTGTTGAGGGAATTATTTGTTTAGCAGAGTGATGGCGTTCGGGGGGAAAACTGCCCTTGTGTCTAGTTGTTCTGGTGTGCAGGGCTCCATAGTGTCATTTTGAGGATAGGAGTTGAAACAGTTTATGTGAGGGATGTAAAGGTGAGGGTCTGTGGAGTTGGTCCTGGGAAGAATTGGTGGGGAGGGTACACTCTGGGATGTCTTTCAGGACCGTCTTAACAGCATTATGGGCCCTGGGCAAAGCAGTGTACTGGGGCCCCTACAACAACTACTCCCAGGAATCAAAGTGTAAATGGTTGATAAAATTAAACATATATTTATCAGTGTTAATTTCTATTGATGCATGTTAGTATCAATTTAAAAAGGCAGTACATTGCAATACATATGTTGATTTATTTATATGACACAAGGTGCATGGAAAGGTTAACATACACAGGTTAGTGCTGGTGGGGCCCATCAGGCCCATGCCTTAAGACAGCCCTGGTGTCTTTTGTGCCCCCTCCCCCTGTGTTGGGGCAGAAAGGAGGGTAGGGGGAAAGGATGGTGTGTGTAGGGGTGTGTTGGTTTGGATCTATGGACTGGAATTCATGTGTGGATGATGGGTTTTAGGGCCGCTCAGGAAAGCAAAATAAAGAGCAGGCATGCTAAATTAAACTGGTTGGGTTGGGGGGGGGCGAAAGCTGGGGAAAAATCCCCCAAATTAAATCAACTATTTTGTTTGCATTTTAGAAAAGTTGAACACTCCCTCAGAAACACACTGTTGGGCTGCATTTATATACATGAATTAATTAATGATAGCCTTTTATCTTTTAAAAAAACCCCACAAAACTTGTGGCCCCGGATGCTAAATCTTTCTTAAAATACCAATGCTGAGTTCACACCCTCTGCTTTCTGTAGCTTGATGTGATGAACTATTTCACACAACATGCACAGACAATTCCTGTTGCACACTGCTCAACCCTCTTTTAGTGTTCTGTAGATCTTTTTGTAAATCTTTTAGATTTTGTAGATTTTTAGGGATCCTGTTTAGAGTAGAGTAGAGTAGAGTAGAGTAGAATAGAATAGAGTAGAGTAGAGTAGAATAGAATAGAATAGAATAGAATAGAATAGAATAGAATAGAATAGAATAGAATAGAATAGAATTCTTTTATTGGCCAAGTGTGATTGGACACACAAAGAATTTGTCTTGGTGCAAAGGCTCTCAGTGGACATCAAAGAAAAGATACATTCGTCAAGAGTCAAGAATCATCAGGTCCAACACTTAATGATAGTCATAGGGTACAGTAAGCAATCAAATCATGCCAGGAAACAGTCAATATAAATCGTAAGGATACAAGCGACAAAGTTAGTCATACAGCCACAAGTGGGAGGAGATGGGTGATAAGGAGTGATGAGAAGATTAACAGTAATAGTAGTGCAGACTTTGTAAATATTTGTTTAGCAGAGTGATGGCTTTCGGGGGGGAAAAAACTGTCCTTGTATCTAGTTTATGGGCCTTCCTTTTGAATATACAAGCAAAAACAGGCCCTTCGTGACTATAGATTTTGCCTCCAGTTTAGCCATTAATTAAAATATCTCTCCTTGAGTTGCTGATGAATGAACAGGGTGGACAAGTGACTCGCTTGGAGCTCAAAATCCTCCAGCATGGCTGGAGCAAATTTGGTGTCAAATTGCACCTTTGGAGTCAAGGACATGGGCACATCTTGGCTTGGAAGGTCCTTCTTCCTTGCCCCCCCCCCCAAGCCAAAGTTGGTCTTCTCCTGCTACTGCTTGGATCCATGATTAAATGGTCCTTTCCTTTGTGTAGAAGATGACCATTCTGCAAGACTATTCAGACCCATTCGACACCAGGCAAGAAACTCACAGTCCGATGCAGGAGCAGCAAAGGGATAAAAATGAAGGATACATGGAGCCATTCGAAGCTCAGAAGCTCCTGGCTGGTAAGGGAGGTGGTTTTAATTGACCGAAGAGAATATTGGTAGCTCAAGGTTGAACTGTAGGGTCCTGGGTGTGCTCTGAGCTCGGTTGCTTTCTTGCAGATGTTTCATGACCCTACTAGGTAACATCATCAGTGCTAGAAGGGAGTGGGGGTTGCAGTGTGGAGATGAAGGAGATGGGAGGTGGAGGTGGAGGTGGAGG